ACTACTTCCCAAGTCTTAAAGAAATTACACTTAAATTTTTTTCTGTGTTTCTAGGCCTCGAGCCATGTGAAGATCCGAGTTTTCTGCGTTTTTCTTTGCGTTTTTTCTTGCGAGTATTTAGGTGAAACCGTAAAAAGAGATAAAGTAACTATGCTCATTTTCTGCATGAACATAATGTTCCTTGATACTTGAGCTTATGCATACCTCTATCGTCAAAAACGTAAAACGTGTTAAATCATACTTTAAAAAGTAAAGCAGAAGTAACGTGCGTTACTATTTATCGGTAGCCGTAAAGCGTTCCTTTCATTTTTGGGTAACGTAGCTCGGTAAGGCGTACCTTTTTTTTTTTTTTTTGCAAGTAACGAGTAACGTATTTCGTTACTTTTTTTCGGTAACGCCTACAACGCTGCCGTTCTGTCGCCGATCCCCTTCTGCTTGGTAGCCCGGGCGTAGCGAGCCTGCGACGAGCGCTTGGCCGATGCTTTGTGCGCGAACACCGTGGGAACGAAATTCGGGTATCAGACGACGGTTTTCCTGCACATAAGCAAGCCTCAGGACGGAGATTGAAATGGAAGCACACTTGCCTTCAAGAAAGTGCTTGCCGCACAAACGGTCGTTCGCTCGAGGCGACTATTCTTTTCGATCCACGGATATTATCCACCTTCTGTGCATTTCAGAGTCTGATGGGAACTAGTGGAAACTCACTCCGCTATTTTCTTCTTTTTTTTTTTTTTTTGTTCCTTTCGGTGCAGTTAACGGCAACACCGCTTCGCGGCATGCTGAAATGCTATGACGCCCATGCAAAACGTGCGCCCTTCTGCCCTCGCCACCCTGCTTCGGCGCGACCGCAGCGCCGCCCCAACTCCGTGACGTCAAGCCCGCGTGTCGGTCTATAAGAGATAACTGCGGGCCCTGTAACGGGAAATGGCGTTTTTGGATGGCTGCCTTTCAGTGTGCGCTTGGGTGTGATGGGGGTTGGGCAATAATTGTGGATATATAGGCGACGATGCTGGCATTGAAAACACAACAGTTGAGAGTAAAGCGCCTGTCCGGTCGACTGTGTATCTTTCTTGTCCCCGTTTTGTTCACAATTTTAACATTTTAGTCCTGCCATGGTTTTTTTAGGCATCTAGATGATTATTTGCTTTAGAATTATTACCAACACATGAACATTGAAATCAATCAAAGTTTACCAAAATTTCGCCACGAATAATAAGTTTCAAATTAAAAAAAAAATCATGAATTATGAGACACTGTTCTCACTACGAAAATCCAAACCCAGAATCCAAAAGAGGCAACAGAAGCCTTTTTTTTTCAGGCAATGGTAATCTTGATAATGATGTCACATTGTTACACGCTAAAAAGAAACGAGAAGGAGGCCTTTCCGGAAAATTTATATTAGTTGTACCTCGTATTTTTCTAAGTATGACGTTCACCGGGGGCCGCACTTTGTATCACTAATAATAAAATTAAGGTACCCTAACACGTAGGTCTTCAAGCTGCAATATAATATGTTGCTCATGATCTAATTTCAAACGTGCGAACAGCTGTGGTGATCCTATGTTGGCAAATTATCAGTACGGGTGCATAATGTAGGATTTTAATTAACAAGGTGTAAATTAAAACTAGTCTGACATCAATTAAAATGCTCTATCTAGTACGAAAAATCCATGTGTAATGACATTAATTGTGGTAAAGCACTTAGTGATATCAAAGTCCCGGCGTTTGATAATGGGTAAAAGTTCCAAATTCAACACCTGTTATTTTGGAACGAATGTGGCTAGAAAAAGCGATTCCGTTATTTTTTTAATTACATCATCTTCCTTAACATTAATTTTTGTCTAGTTCTTTTCCCCGGAATCGTTTTGCCCAGCTCAGGATTTCCAGTTCGGAGGAACGCCTACCCGCTTGCACGTACGTTCACTGCGGCCCCTTTCGCTGATGTTGGAAAACCGGTGGAACAGTACACTCTAGGAAATGCCTGCGCGTCTACTTACCCGCAAAACCCTCAAAGAGCCCATCTCTGCGATCTACGAAATCAGCTAAGCAAATGATGAGGGCGTACATCTCTTTTGACCTCAAAATGTAGTCTACGCTGTGGCACTACGCGATGCAAGCATGATGCTTGGCATTACGTAATGCCACAGCGCATACTTCATTTTTAGGTCCAAACGGATGTTCCGCCTTATCATACGCTGAGCTGATTTCGAAGATCGGAGAGGTCGTCTCTTCAAAAGTTTTACGGATAAGTAGACGCGCAGGAACTTCTTAGAATGTATGGTTCAAGTCCCACACGGGCCCCTACATTACATTGGTACAGTAAAGAATGCTGTTTGCATTCAAGACTGGCTGTTGGTGAGCCATGGTCGCGAGATGTTCCGCCCTGCCCGCTGAGCTGGGGGTTATGCAAGATGGCGGAACGATGGGGCCGGGACATCGCCCGCTGCGATTGGTCAGCGTCGTGGCGCTGACCAATCGCAGCAGGCAGCAATGTTCCACTCCCTTCGTCCCTCCGTCTTGCGTAGTCCCAACGAGCCCACGGTAACCGGGGGACCCCCGCTAGAGCGCTTCTCGTTTCAGCCGGGAGAGGGCGAGCAACGAGCTGGAGAGGAAAATATACTTAAACCGAATATTCCAAACATTCACAAAAAAATATATATACAAGATTTTTGAAATCCACATTTGAAGCGCGAATTAAACTGTATCCACGTTGAGAAGTTCCAAATCCATCGCCTCTCATCATCTAATCTCGAGGAAAAAAGACGGCGCCTCTCTGATTACTTGGAGGGATGTCGTATGTCGGCCTTGTTTAGGATCTCAAACAAGACACGGATGAACAAGACTTAAGTGCGTTCTTTCTTATGAGTTACATGTAATTTCTTTTCGTGATGGCTCATTGTTCGACCTCCAGGATCATGCTGGAGCCGCCGGATTCAATCGCTGATCCTGGGCAGAAAAGAATAGAAAGAAAAAAAGGCGTTTCCTTTCACAGGCCTACATTGAGCCGAAGACGGAAAGCAATATTTCTTCATAAACTCAGAAAACCCTTGGTCTGCTTATAACGCCTTTCGCACTCGGTTTCCGCGGACAACAGAAAGGTCGAGATTGGCAAAGAAGAAGAGAACATGACTCCTTTTTTTTCTATTCGGTGCTTCTTGTTTTGTCTACACCCTCAAATCTCCGTCTGTGTACTCCACCGAAATGAACACGGAACACTTTTCCTGGCTTTTTGATTAATCGGATCAGCTAACGAAAAATGTGATAAGTCTCATGCTATGAAATCAGTGTTGTCTCGGTGGCAGAAAGAGGTGGATGCTTCTCTTGCTTCTGTATCTTGGAGACTTTGTCTTGTCCCCCCCACAAGGACTGCCAACAAATGTACGATATTTTTCAGTGGCGTATAGTCCAATAACTACCGTCGCCTGCTCTTTGACAAATTCTCTGAAGCTAGAATTCGCAATCCTCCTGCAGAGGTCATTATCTTATTTACCGGTTGGACTCGTTAACTTACGCATGCTGCGAGACCCGCTGCTGAACGTGTTGAAGTTTCCCGGGTTAGCGGAACTGCTGTTGTGTTGAGAGAATTTCCCGCTTGTTAATAATTCCCGGAGATTAGTTTAGGTTTCCCTCTCGTCTTACTCGTCCCCAATGTTCTCGTCTACATATTTGATTTCCTTATTTTTTGCTCTGGTATTGCCACTTCCCGATTTCTTCTTTCTTTCTAACTTGATGCTTCCATTTTCTTTTTAGAAAGCATCCGCTACCGAGACTGCATGCTGCTGGGAGGGGCGCAATACGGTCCGCTATCCTCATTGGCGAAACCGCTCGCCCTTTTTCTTAGCAGAGCTGATTAAAGGAAAATCGATGTCTGACGTTCGGCGTGCATCTTGAAGCAATATAAATACAGGAGCTTCTGCGAGCAGGGAATGCATGTACGCTGTAGTTCTTCCGAATCAATGTAGAAAGGGTAAAGACGCAAGATTTTTGTTTTACTTCATTAAGCTTCTATGGTAGCTGAATTTATTCCTAGGCATCGCCTAGGCACACCGCACACTGAGAACACTAACGGGCTTTTCTCTAAAGCCATGGGCACACTGCTCATACTTCATACAAAAGACATTGTGCAGACAGTGTCTGAGGGGCGCCTTAGTTGTGATTCTCCAGTCAGATTGTACACACAAAGCCTGCAATGTTCGAAGTATGCATGAAGCAACATGCTTGGAAGCTACTTGAGACCAGCCCGCAGATAATGTTTGTCATCATGTCTGCAGAAAACAATGTGTGACCGCGGCTTAAGAGGCACACAACTGTCTCTTGGAGAAACAGTTTTATGTAGGATGGCCTCTGCCAATTTCGCAAAACCGTATTTGAGAGATGGCCTTTCATTCATGCCCTGTAGGGCGTGGATGAGCTAATGTGAGCCACGCTTTGGTGACAACAAGATTCTAAGTAGAAGCGAGAATGAAAGAGCACGCGAATTTCAAAGAGCCGTACTTTATCAGGAAGAGGGGGCCCCAAAGCATGAGCGACATGTCGATTGCATTGTATGATGCCGAGATACGTTTGTTTGATACATTTATGTAAATGATTGAAGGGTGGGTATCCCTGCGCACGCGTAGCCTAGGTGGTGATGGATGTATCGGCATGTCGATAGAAGTGTCGATAGAAGTGCATATATATATACTTCCATCTTCTTTTTTCAAAAAGAGCTGTGGGTAGCGCCCGTGTTTGTTGTTTCTCTTGTGTTTGTACTTTTAGGGCTTTCAACCGTGGTTGAAAACATTCATCCGCGACTAGCCCAACAAGTACTTTTACAATAAATCCCTTGTTTTTATTCACATCAAATGTGCATGCAACGCATGATGCTGGTGGGACATAATAATTGGGACGTTATAAAAAGCATAAGCACAGTCAGGCAGTTTGTCACTTACACAGTTAATCTGCCGATTAGTCAATCTAGTGAATCAATCGATCGATAAACGGTTCTCGTTTTCCTCCAGGCAACAAGTTCAGCTGCGACTGCCGCCTCGTGTGGATGCTGCACCTGGAGAACGCCACCAGGAACGACAAGCTTCGGCGCGAGCTGAGGCACGTCAAGTGCGACTTCCAAGCCAGTGGCAACCTGAGCAGCAGCAAGGTGTCCCGACTCAGCGCCAGCCAGCTGGGCTGCCCCGCCGACTACGCCAGGCCAGAGTTCCGCAGCGCCGCCGCCATCACCCACTCCGCCACCCGAAAGACTTCGGCCCGTCCGCCGCCGCCAGCCGCCGGGAAAGGAGACAAGGAAGCCGCGGACGAGTCCGGTAACAGGATTAACGACGGGGCCTCTCCAGACCCCGATATCGATCCCGACGAGAAGAACAAAGCCGGCAACGACGATGATGCGCAGCTGACGAAGAACGACATCGAGGTCGTCTTGAATCAGCGAAAGGGCGCGGATATGCTGGCGTCATCGTCCAGAGGACAGCAGCAGCACAGGGGCAACGGGGCTGCTTCCGGTCGGCCGACGGACGCCGGGTGGTGTCTGGTGGGCCTCCTCTGGTCCTGTTTGGCGGCGGCCGCCATGTCGACGTTTAGGTGATCGCGCAGTGCGACAACTGCGAACGGGGACAGAGTGGTACTGGTCGGTTCTTGTGGTCGGTCCTGGTGCGAAGGACAATGCCGCGAGGACTGGCCGTCGGTCTGTGATCATGAACCGCTGTGGCGTGTCGCTCGGTTGTGTACTTTATTTTTTTTTTTTTTAGAAATTAAGTGTGCGTCGTGCTTTTAATGTGGAGTGTCGAAAACCCCGATGAATTGCAGGGTTGAGGTGGCTTTGTTTTGTTATTATCTGTTAACGTAGTTCATGTCACGTGGTGCGGACAAAGCAAGAGCGTCGTCTGCTTATGTAGCGCCGAGTGAAGTTGAGACGTGCGCCCTTTTCATTGTTCGTTCGTTCTTGTTTTATATGATTGTGTCAGTCTGACCTCTGCGACTTGAACTTACTACGCTCTCAAAAGCACCTGCATGTATACTGCCTTCCAGGACGCACGGCAGAAACACCAACAGAATAAAAGGTTAAAAAAAAACGCGATCAAACGGGGACAACAAAGAAACACGGATGACAGGACAGGCGCAGTAGAAGCACGTGTCCGGTCGTCCGTCATTGTCACCGTTCGTTCACGCTTTTTAACCTTTTATTCAGTAATGGACCAACAAGCTCAAACCCAAGTATTAAAGCAACACCAATCATTGGCCTTTTTTAAAAGTACAGCAAATGAGAAGGGCTAATCGGATAGCACGCAATGGCTGTGCAGTGTCACTGGTAAAAATAGGCGTCAGGCCCTTTTGCCATTGAGACTGAACATGAATCACAGCACGATACCGATATCCTTCTAATTAGCTATACGAAATAAAGAAATGATATTGATCGATTTTGGGAGTGCAAAGTGCGCCAGTACAGATGCAGGGACAGCTGAGAGTATAATTTTAATGACTGCCAAAACTCGTGTTCGTCTTTTTTATGAAGTGTACGAGCAAAGGTATTCTTGAGTCGGTGAGTTTGTTTTGGTTCTAAAGAAACGAAGTTCTCCGAGTGATTGTTATTTGTGTTCTGTTTCAATGCCCAGAAGCTAAGGATACCTCATTTTAGGTTCATTTAAAGTATTACATATTTCAGTTCGGCAATCAGGTTTGCGGAATAAAGTGTCTTTATTTATTTTGAAAACCCTGAATGGGAAATGGGTTAAGATATGAAGACTATTTTAAGCGCATGATTTACCTAGGTTCGGTTTGCTATGTACATGTCGCAGTCATCAATGATAGCTGATTTTTGGGAAGCTCCCATGGAATTTAAAACAAAATAAAGTTAAACCCTGTACAATTTTTCGTTCGTCGCATCTTACCTGGGTTTCTGAACTGAAACACTGCGACTCTGGGAGTTGGCCAAGTTTGAACATGAGCTCTATCTCTCTTTGACAAGATATTGTAACTAAAGTGGGGAGGGGGGTACAAAACCCAACAAAATTGAAGTGGGTATGTTTATTATTGTGTACGTAATCAACCTAACTAAAAAACACATGCGAAGGCCAAAAACTATTTGAAATGATGGAAAAAGATGGAAAAAGAATGTCCTAAAACAAAATTTACAACAAAAAACAAATACTTCTAGACCTATATTTATGGCGCGAAATTAATTTGTAGTTAGCGCCCACGGGGGAGCCCGCGGAAAAGAGGCCGCTGTTGTCACGTGACTGGTCACGTGACAACAGTGGTCACGTGGTGCTTGCGCTTATTCGGGAGCTTCATGTTGGCTCTAAAAGTTACTTATAAATCTTCGTTTGAAGTGCAACAAAGGAATAATAAGTAACTTCTAGATCCCAAAGGAAGCTCCTGAAAGAGCGCTAACACCACGTGATAGACCTCTGCGCCGGTCAGAAATTGACGACGGTGGCGCGCAGTGGTGTACCCTTCCAACAGCGGCGGTGTTGAGAAATGCGTTAAACCGGCGCCGCGCCACGCTCTGCGTTCAGTGGCTGGGCTGCAGTGAGGCAGCGCAATGATCTACCACGTGACCGGTGGCGGCAGCCACGGTTTCCAACTACAAATGCGCTTCGCGCCGTAAATATAGCTCTTAAAATATTTTTTGTTCGTCGTAAATTAATTTTATGGCATCCTGTTCCCGTCCAAGCTGTAATAAAAGAAAGAAAATGTGCTTTTTCCCTTTGCATGTTACCTTTGAACAACCTATAGCATTTTAACGTCTCAAAATCGGCAGAAAAAAAAAAAAAAAGCTTTGAGAAACCTTAAAGCGTCGCCTTTAAAGGGGCTCTGCAGCGCTATTGTGTAGCAAGGTTTCTCTGTTTACACGAGCTTACGGGCACTAGTGGTACCCAAAAATACTTGAACGCAATGCCACCGATCAAGAAACTTAGTCGCGCTGGAATTCACCGGATAAAAGTGAACGTTTTCTTTCAGGCTCTCCTTCGCAAAACTTTATGACGGAGTTGCGGGGATAATGTCGACAATGCGATCTCCAGGAGTGCGTCATCGAGCTTTGCGATCCCCGTTGCAAAGATGTTTAAATGCTGCTCCCACAGTGGACACGAAGACTGCGCAGGGCATTCGATTTTGGCACGTGATAGTCAATGCTTCGACACGCATTCGTGTAGCTGCTCGTGCAGAATCACTGAAATGACGGGAATAGCCGAACCTTAACAATGCGTGGAACTCAGCGCTCCCTGTTCTCTGCATGACAACCCCGACGCGTAGCTATGTTAAAATCATTGGCGGCATATACATCTTTCCAGCGGCGTAGACTTTCCATTTTCCCAGGGGGGGCAGGCTGAGAAGTTCTTCGGGAAGGGGGGGGAGGGGGTGTTGCTGCGCGTTATTTTTTCGCCAGAACTGAAGATTGAATAGCTAACGAAAGCACGCTGGGATTCCATTTCCCATGTATTATGTCAATAAAGGCAACGAGGGCGTTATTTTGTTTACATGCCACTACATAGAAGCTGGTTACATGGCACGTAAACGGCGTCTCGGTAAGCATCATGGCCCGGGCCCAAAGGGGGGGGGGGGGCTCTGCCCCCTCCGCATCTCGCCAGGGGAGCCCCGATGCCCCCCCCCCCTCCCCCCCCCCCCCCCCCCCCACACAACCCGGAAGTCTGCGCCTATACATCTTTCCATAAAAGCGTTTGAGGGTGCGGTCATTGCTGTGTTTGTGTTTTATGCACGAACACTTTCAGGCTGGCCGGAACTGCGCGCGAGCGCTGGCTGGGCTGGCTTACATTTCGTTTCAGCTGAAGTTCAGACGCAGCCGATGCTACATGCGCGAGCTCCGGGCTTTCAGCGTCCCTGCGAAGGATGCGCGCTTGTGCAGTGCAAGCCTTGTTCAGGGCCACATGCTCGTGCTTGTAGCTTCGGCCTCGCTCCCACTTAAAGTTAAAACGAGGATTAGCGGCGAGTTGTTTCGGATGCACCCTCGTTCGTTACCTTTTGTGAAGTCATAACCTTGTGAACAACAAGCTCGATGGTGTTTGAAATGAGAATCCGGGAAGCCTGAAACCTGAAGCCTGAAACACGCCAACACCGTCAAAACTGAAGTTCTTACATTCCTCTTATTTCTGTCGATGAGACATATTTTGCTTACGTCATAGTCAGCATTCGGCTACTTGTGGTGGGCCAACACTTTCGATCGCTCACGTCGCCAATGGCACGTGTGAACTGTGATTTTCGTAAGCAGTGGAAACGTCTTTAATTTCATCCAGATCTCGTGAGCGCATTTTCTGGCTGCGAGTTGAGAAGGTAAACGGTTTTCGCGTTTCTGGGATTTTTTTCTGCGACTTCCACTGCGTAGAGTAAGAAAAAATAAAAGAAAAACAACAACAACGTGTGTTTCATAGGTCATAAATGTTAAGGAATAATTAATTCTAAGCTCTATTTATTGAAAGTAGGAAAACTGCTGCATGGCCCGTTTAAGAGTGGAAGGCAGTAGTTATTGGGGCCCTGTTCGCAAAGCCTTTTCATATAAACCCGCGCTCGTTCCCGAGACGTACAGGCGTACTGGCGTGGTCTAGTTGGTAGCGTCACGTGTCACGTGATGTCACACGTGAGCGTTGCGGGTTGTTTGAAATTCCCGCGAGAGGTCATGTGGCGTGACGTCACACGCAGCTGTGACATTATGACCTAATCGACCCGCTAAATATAGCAAAAACATTTCCGCCAAATGTAAAGAGAAAATTTCCCGCCAAACTTAGAGGGGAATATAACCCTCGTGACGTTGCACGTGACGTCACGTGTGACGTCACCATGTGCATGCCGGGATTTTTCGGTCCCACGGACGCTGACGCCGACGCCTGATTTTCTGTGACACGAGTTCCTGTGCGCTATCGCGGTAAATCAGAAAAAAAAAATATTGCTACAGTGAGGATAGGCGCCAAAAATTATGGGAGAGAATTAGCTTTTACAATTTAGAAGGGCTACTTCCCGATCTTGTACTAAGGAACAGACATTTTCTGCGTGTATATTGATGTTTTGTTTACAATACAATAAATAAATACAGTCAAACACCTAGAACAACGAAAAAACTAACTTTGCGCGCTGTGACAACTTTAGTTTCATTGAAATAAATGCCCGAGTGTGCTAAATACGTAAGAACCTCTCAACAGCCAAAACTGGCACAATGTCTGAAGTTCCATCATTTCATCAATTTAAGCATTAACATCTTCGCCAGTGCGTGAAACTACCAGCTGTTTTATAGTTACACTTTAAACACTGGCGAGAGAGAGAAAAAATTTTTATTGGCGGAATATGAGAATTCCTTAGAGTGCGGTCCTCGTTGTGGCCGTTGTGGTGGCGACCTCCTTTGCCCTTTCCACCAAGGCGCTTTGCACCTCTGGGTCGGAGCTTCGGAGCGAGGTCTCCCACTCATCATGGGATGGGATTGAGGGAAAAGGGTCTTGTGGGCAAGCCCATATTATGTGGGGCAGAGTGGCTTTGTCTCCACATAGGGTGCATTCCGAGGTGGGGTACATTGAGGGGAAGATGTGGGTGAGGATAGCGGGGTTAGGAAAAGTGCTCGTCTGGAGTTGGCGCCAACTATGGGCCTGCTCCAGGGTAAGGGACTTGTCGGCTGGCGGGTAGACCTGACGGGAGAGGAGGTAGTGTGTGGTGATTTCATGGAAGCTGGATGGACGGTCCCTGGCGGATCTAGCCCCATGATAGGGATGGAGGCTAGGCCCTGCCCGGATAGTGTATCCTCGGGCTTGTTCATGGGCCGCCTCGTTTCCCTCGAGACCAGCGTGCGCGGGTGTCCAGACCAGTCTGACGGAGGTCTGGGGCGGGTTTCTGTGAAGAATTTTGAGCGCTGGCTTGGAAATGCGGCCAGCTGCGAAATTTTGAAGGGCGGTTTTAGAATCCGTGATGATCACTGAGGGGGTTGGGATCACAGTGAAGGCGAGGGCTATGGCTACCTCTTCCGCCGTTTCTGGGTCAGTGGTCAGGACGGTGACGGCGTCGATGGGGGTGTGTAAGTTGTCAGTCACCGCCGCCGTGAAAGCCCCATGGTGACTGTATTCTGCCGCGTCGACATATAGGACACCTGGGTTATCCCCGTAGGTTCTTTGCAGGGAAATGGCGCGTTGTTTCCTGCGAGCAAGGTTGTGGGTGGGGTGGACGTTTCGAGGTAACGGATTTGCTATAATTTTGTTGTGGATGTTGGGCCTGATGGGGGATTTGTCTTGGTGGAGCTTGTGACATCCAATGTTTAGGCTGGCGAGTATGTGCCTACCAGTGGGGGTGCGGGAGAGTCTAGTCAGTTGGGCAGCACGATGTGCTTCTATTAATTCGTCCAGGTGATTATGCAAACCGAGTCCTTCCAGTTTGGCAGTTGGAGTGCTAGGCGGTAGGCGCAGTGCTATTTTGTAGGCCTTGCGGATCAAGGTATTAACCTTATTGGTGAAGGCCGGCGTGAGGCGTAAGTATGGGGCCGAGTATGTTAGCCGGCTTAGGACGAATGCCTGTAGGATGCGTATGCGATCCTGTTCGTTGAGGCCTTTATGTTTATTTGTCACCCTTTTCAGTAGGCCTATTGTTTGATTAATCTGACTTTCTATTCGCTCAAGAAATTTGTTATTGAGCCTATTCGCCTGGATCTGCAGTCCCAAGATTTTGAGCTCCGAGACCACTGGGATTGGCCTGCCATTGATGTGTAGTTCGATGTCAGCGTTGTTTTGTTTCCTAGTGTTGGAGGGCCGAAGTAGTATTAGTTCGGATTTCGCCGGAGAACAAGCGAGACCTGCTCTCTCTGCTTCCTCCGCTACTATGTCAACCCCTTGTTGTAGTGTTTCTTCTATATTGGCGTCACTCCCTCTGCCGATCCAGAGGGTGATGTCGTCCGCATAAAGACTGTGTCGGAGTTGGGGAATTTGGCCTAGCCTTTTGGGGATGTTGATGACTGCCAGATTAAAGAGAATGGGCGAAAGCACAGCCCCTTGCGGGGTTCCCCTGCTGCCCAGTTGGGTAGTGTCTGACGCGAGGTCGCCAACGTTGACTACGGCAGTTCTCTCGGAGAGGAATGCTTTGATGTAGTTGTACGTCCTCTCTCCGGGGTTTACTGACCCCAGACCCCCCAGGATGGATTCATGGGTGACATTGTCGAATGCCTTTGTGAGGTCTAGGGCCAGGATGGCTGCCGTGTCGAGGTTACCTGTGGATTTGATTATTTGTTCAGAGAGCTGTAATAATATGTCCTGCGTGGATAGCCCAGCCCTGAAGCCAACCATGGTGTGTGGGAACAGGTCTGCGTCATTCATGTGGTTGGTCAGCCTATCTAGGATTATGTGTTCCATTAGTTTACCTAAACAGGATGTCAGAGAAATAGGTCTTAGGTGTTCTAGGGTGAGGGGTTTCCCTGGCTTGGGGATTAGAATAACTTTTGCGTGTTTCCATGACTCGGGAATCCTCCCCTCTCTCCAGCATGTGTTGATGTAGTCGGTGATGTCTGTAATGGATGAGTCATCAAGGTTGCGGAGGGTGCGGTTGGTTATTCCGTCCGGTCCTGGCGCCGAGTTGGGTTTCAGCTTGGATATTGCCGACCTCACCTCCGCCTCCGCGATTTCTCGGTTCACGTTGGTGTTTTGCTGCCCAGGGTAGGGAGGGAGTGCATTTTGGGGCCCGGTCGGTTGGTATTTTTGGGTAGCTTGATCGAGCAAA